CTCTTGAACTCAATCTCTCTATTAATGAAAGCTAACACACCATACACCTTCTTAACAACTCTATCCACCTGGGTGGCAGCTTTCAGGGAACTGTGAACATGAACCCCAAGATCCCTCTGCTCCTCCACACTGCCAAGAATCTTTCTGTTACCCCTGTATTCTGCTTTCAAGTTTGTCCTGCCAAAATGAATCACCTCACACTTTTCAGGGTTAAACTCCATCTGCCACTTCTCAGCCCAGCTCTGCATTCTATCAACGTCCCTTTGTAACCTAGAACAGCCCTCCGCACTGTCCACAACGTGACCAACAAGGCAGGAAATCTCACAACCTTTAACAAGAATATGGACGAGCATGTGAAATTTCATAACATTCAAGGCTATGGGCCACTCTCTCGAAAGTGGGACTAGCGTAGTGAAGTTGGCGCAGACCCAAAGGCCTCTTCTGTGCTATGGGAGTCTAAGATGCATTGCAAATATTCATTCTGGCTCCTTTGACAGCACCTTTTAAACCCACGACCTCAGGAGGGACAAGGGCAGCAGATATATAGGACCCTGCCACTTTCCCTCTAACTCAAACATCACCCTGACTTGGAAACCATTCTTTTACTGTCACCAAGTTAACTTCTTAAGGATAACTAGAGATGGACAATAATTGCTGGCTCAACCCGCAAAGCCCACATCCCCTGAATAATTGACAAAAGAAGATGCAATTTTTTTTCGCACTGACTTGTTTCAATATCTTTAGATAAAACATTCATTTCAAAACAGATGTCTTTGTTTATTCTACGTGCCTCGATCTATGGTTAGGTCATCATAGCAACAATTTTAGGTCAACATTTATCCATTTAAATTAAAAAAAAAATGGTTTTAGTTCAAAGGCATCCACTATAACACTCAAATGATTGATGTTAAAAATTGAAAGTGGTAAATGTGGACTATCATAATACTACTAAAGCAGTAACATTCACCATTTAGAAGGAAAAAGGAAACTGATGTGTGGCAAAACAGTGGATAGGCAGTCAGCATTGCCTCTGCATAGCAAAGAATCCTGGAACTGAAGTCAATGCTGGCACCAACTGACGTGCACAAAACCTTGGATCAGCTGCAAGGTGCACATCCATGCAGCTTACAGGCAGTTCTGTCGGCAATTAATGCTGGTCTTTCCAGCAACACCCATAACCCATGAATGAATAAAATAGGAAACTGGCTTAAGACTTCACAAGAATGCAACAGGCTGTCCTCTTACTGTACGTGAATATGTTCTGGTGAATACTGACAAAGATTAGTTACAAAAGAATGCTTTTCCCCCCTTTCTCTACATTGTGAATTATGAAACGTAATTTATTAAACAACATCAAATTCTCATGCATTATTCAAGAATTAATGTCTAATTGCAGTAATTGGATGATAGCAATAATTTATATTTAGAATTATGAAAATTGGTTCATTTGGAGTACTGAGAAGATACCCGGATCTCTATTTTTAAGATTCACTGAGGGTGCACTGTAGGACTCTTGTTAAAAAAGATACTTACTGAAAGCTACGTGACTTAAGTTAACTGCTTGGATTTACAGGAAGTCACATGTCTGAGTTTATGATTGTCAGAAATGTGGCTATTATGGTACTGTTTGGAGTTCAGCTGGGGCATAGTCTGTGAAGAGATAAGACCCCCATTCCCAGTATTTGCCAAATTTCCGAAAAACCTTTAAGTATCCTGGGCAAGAGCTGGGGAAAAAAAAAATCAAAACAGCTATTCTTCCTGAAAGACTGTTAGGACGACTTGATCCAGACATTGCATGAACTAAGTATATTTGAACAGCGCAGAGACAATAGTGACTTCCAGCTGCACTCATCTGCGTGTATCAGGACACTGGACTCAAAGCTCTGAAACATTTCATATTATATACTTCTATTCTCTAAGATTAACAACTATTTTGGACAGTGTTGATTTCTGCAGGGTAAATTTCTTTAAAATTTCCTTTACCTGGTGTGTGTGCATACATCAATTGGGTTACTTAGAAGTATAGATGTTTAAATTTTCATACTTCAAACTCTAAGTTAGTCAACTGTATTAGCATTAACATTGCATATTTGTTAAATAAGACTGGTTTTTATAATAGCCAATAATTTTGCTGTTGAGGGGCCAGGCTGATGTACCTTGTTACGCAAAACTTAATGTAAAGTATATAAATAACCATGTCTGTAACTGGGTAAAACATTTAACTTTTTGTAACCAGTCGAGTAATGCGATTAGATAGAAAGACCATGCACATCTCAAACCCACTCATAACTGTGTTTTAAAAAAGCAAACATTTCAAGGCCATCCACATATGTTCACTGCAAAATAAAGATTACAAATCTAATAACAGCTTATAAATTATGTTTAAAATCTTGATAAATAGTGTGAATGAAAGAGTTTAAAAGTACTAGTCAGGAATCAAGAGACGTAGGATTGAAGAAGAGCTTTCCAGCAAGTGATTTTAGGGGGCTGAAGGTAGGGGTCAAAAAAAAAAAAAGGAACAGTGTTGAAGTGAGGAAATTCGATTTTAAAAAGAAATGACCAGAGGAATTAAATCCTTTCTTTGGGAGCATTGTACAGTTAAAGGAGATTCGAGAGAGGGAGAGGGAGACGGAGACCAAGAATGGGCATGATTGACATGTGGGGCACAATTCAGGTTGAATTATGGTTGAACTACAATTTTTAGATTAAGAGTGTGTACAGGAGGAAATAGAATGCTGACCCCATCCCAAATGGAAAACTGTTATTTCAGACGACAGCAAGTTAACCTGCAGCTTTCTGTGGCTCTGGCAATTCGCCAGTGGTGAATATAGCCACATGTCTACAAAAAGAAATTATGCATTAACTCTGCATAGTGAACTTGCTGAATTGTACAGAAACAGATTTTAACTCGGTGACAATAAAGGAATGGTTTCCAAGTCAGGCTGATGTTTGAGTTAGAGGGAAAGTGGCAGGGTCCTATATATCTGCTGCCCCTGTCCCTCCTGAGGTCGTGGGTTTAAAAGGTGCTGTCGAACGAGCCAGAATGAATATCTACAGGACCATGTATATCAAATAAACAAACTGTTCCTTCGCCATTCAGGTCCGAGCACGTTACTTATGCAAACTTGAATCTTCATTTAGGTCTCCATAAAGCATTGATAAGGTACTAAATAATAATGTTACTCACAAGGTAACACCATATTATTTTGGTGGTGATATATTAGAGACAGAATTAGTTAACAGGAAACGGATTTTGGATAAACAGGTAATATTTAGCTTAGCAAATCAGTTCATGGATACCAAACAATGGGCAGTCTCATCTTTTTATAATCTTGATTAATGAAGGGACCAAATATTTTGCAGCTAATTTGCTGACAAATAGGAAAGAAAGCAAGTTGAGAGAAGGATACAAAGAGTCTACAAAAGGAGATAGACTGGTTAAGTGAGTCCACAAAAGTTTGGCAGATACAGTATAAGCTGGGAAAATATGACCTCTATTTTAACAGGAAGAATAGAAAAGCAAATTACTTAATAGGAGAGATACTTGCAGAATGCTACAATCCAGAGGCATCTAGATGTTTTCACGTGAATACAAAAATTTGGGATGCACTTATACTAAGTAATTAAGAAGGAAATGGAATACAGAAGTAGAGAAGCTTTGCTTCAACTGGGCAGTGTATTGGTACAATTGCACCTCGAATACTGGGTAGTTGGGTCACCTTACTGAGGGAAGGATACAGTGCCCAGGAGGCAATACGAAGAAGGTGACACTATGGCTCAGTGGTTAGCATTGCTGCCTCACAGCGCCAGGGATCCCAGTTCAATTCCAGCCTCGGGTGACTGCGTGCAGTTTGCTCATTCTCAGTGTGTGGATTTCCTCCCACACTCCGAGGATGTGCAGATTTGTTGTACTGACCATGCTAAATCACCCGATGTACAGGTTAGGTGAATTAGCCATGGGAAATGCAAAGTTACAGGGATGGCACGGGGTCTGGGTGGGATGCTCAGAGGGTCAGTGTAGGACTCAATAGGCCGAATAGCCTGCTTCCACACTGTTGGGATTCTATGATTTATAAAAAGGTGGACTCCTAGGATGAAGGGATTATTTTATGATGAATGAGTGGGTTTGTACTCATTGGATTTGGAACAGTGAGAGATTGCTTTACTAGAATAAACAAGATTCTGACCAAGTTTGATAGGGTAGGGACTGAGGTTATCCTCCTGATGTGGTCGTCAATGGGGCACAGTTTAAAAAAAAATAAGGAATCACCCATTTAAAGACAGACCAGGAGAAATTTCATCTTCCAGAGGGTATTTGGCCTTTGGAATTCTCTTCCAAGGAGAGCATTCATGGCTGGATTATTGAAATATTCAAAGTGAAGTTAGACAGATCTTTGATCTACAAGGGAGTCAGGATTATGTGCAGCAGGAAGCTGAAGGAAGTGAAATTAAGGCCACAATCAGTTCACCCATGATTTTACTAAATGGTAGAGCAGTTTTGATGGCCAGTGGATTGTTTTAAAGAAATGGTTCTGGAGTATTTGCTACAACTCCATGTGCAATCAAAAACTGTATTCAAGTCAAATTTTTGAGTGAAGAAAGTGAAGTTGTGGAATTAGTTCAGGAATGTTAGTGTAAGGAACCTACATTAACGAATGGCTAGAAAGGCTTTCTCCTCCACAACAGACATCTTATGGTTATGAAAATTGTCATTTCAGAGAAAACAATGTTTGACTTACAGTTCTTCGGATAATAATACATATGGCATGGTTAGAAATAAGTGAATTTGTGCAGCTCTGGTTCAATCTCCCATGTGGTGCCATTATTAAGCTTGGTCCATCAACACAAACAATTATCAAATTTAACCAGCTTTCCACTTTTACGAGCCTTAAAAGGACAGTTAATCATTTTGTAGGGGACACCGACCTGCAACTATCATTCATTGAGCAACTTTTGACCTCATCCCATGTTTCCTTCAGTTTTCAGTGAAGTTTAATTACCTTTGGAAAGCAATTTTCGAAATTTTTGAGTGGTAGCTAGCTGCTGCTCAGTATCATCAGAGAAAAGCATCTGTACCATTTCCCTTGTGATGACACTCTCCTGAATTGAAAATACAATTTAGAAGATACAAATAGTACAAGTTCTTTCGTAACAATCCAGAAAGACAAATGTTCACAGGAAAGTAACTTTAGTGATAGAATAAGGAAAGCTTTGGATGCCAGAAATCCACAATAAAAGAGAAAATGCCAGATATACTCAACAGATCTGGCAGCATCTGTAGGGTGAAAAACAAAGATATCATTTCAGACCTAAAACATCAACTGTTTTTTACTCCACAGATGCTGGCAGACATGCCAAGTATTTCCAACATGTTCTATTTTTACAACTATAAAGCCTTACAAGGTCAGATTTGCATTCAGCTGGGCACTGAAAAAGCACAAAGAACAGAAACTCCAAATAAAGTAGTTCACCAAGAAACATGATCTACATATTTCAAGCATTATGATTATGTTTTATCCATTTATTTGAATTCAACTGCATCAGTTTGGAACAAAAAAAACTCAACTTATCAGTATAAATTTCAATGTTTTACCATTATCTTTTAATACCAACATGCTTTTGAATCAGAACTCTTCCCAGATTAATTAAAATTGTTCAAACTTTAGTGTCACCTTTTCTAATGCTCATCTTTGCATTTTATTGAATAAAGAAATGACATTTTACAACACAAGTGTTGCACTTTTTAAAGTCAGTGTTGAGGAGATTTGTTGGCGGTGGACATTTTTAAAGAGTAACGATTGCTCAGCGAAGTGAATATATTGATGGGTGATTTAGGAGATTAATGAGTCAATCAGTGGTATGAACTGAAGTCTTATGTAGACCACACATAGCACCGACAATCTATTAAATGACAACAACTGTTTTGACAGTCATTTCCTCATGTGCTAGTCTACAAGTTGCAAAAATCTATTGACTTCAATTTCCCAAGTTTTCCTTTTGCACTCAAAGTTGTTAATTCAGTACCATAACTTTACCATGAAGATACTGATTAAACAAACTGGACTGATCCATTAACATGGAGTCATCCATCACATAGCTCCTACCCCTGCTCCAGTTGAACTGACATAGGAATCCATGAGAGGGCTTTCAAATAGGGCTAATTCTTCATTTATAAGCTCCACATTTCTCCTTTTAAATAGCTGGAAAAGAATAATAGTTTGTATCAAAATTGTTGCTCATTGTTCCAAAAAAAAAAATCATTTTATAAATCAAAAATTAAATGAGTGACAATTCCATAAATGTTTTGAAAACCTTGTGTTATCCAAACTGGTAACATGGTAAACAAAAGGGATAATTTTCAAAAGAATGACATAACAGTTTCAAAAAGAAACAATTCAGTATCCCAAGAACATCTCAATTATCATGTGCAAGGTTTTTCAGTTTCATTTTGTAAATAAGCTTTAGGAAATAATTATGACATTGTAATTACATTAAAAATCAGTTTTAAAAAATTGTTTCTTACTGAATAAGAAGTACTAAACTAATCATGACATCTTAGGTTTTTTGTAATCAACTGTTAAGCAATGCCATGTCACTTTTAGAATCAAGTGATTTCAAGAGTAATCGATTACTGTTACATATACAAAACAGGAGTCATCCTGCTAACAAGGCTTCACAAACAAGAAAATGAATGATCAGTAGACTGTGCAGCTCTCCTATTCTTTCAAAACATTTTTGAGTAGTAGAAGTCAGTTTGTCACTGAACTCAAGCTTAAGTTGCTATGGTCCAATTAGTCAGTAACGTGTACTTTGAAATAGTTGGAAATAAAATGACTTAAACTAACCAAGGTGCATACCTGTTGCTCTCGCTTTTGTTTCCTTAGTTGAATCCCTTCTTCCTCCCTCCTCCTACGCATCTCCTCAGGATTTAATGCCTTATTCTTGTAACGATTCATTCTGCAATTTTCTTTTGCTGGACTAGCTGTAGTTTCTATGGAGAAAAGGTTCATGCTTAAATGGTGAAATCCATCAATACTGAATTAGCATTAATAAATGTATGCGAGAAAGCTATTATTGTGCCCACAAGTTTACTTGGCAAATTCAGACTATTGCTGGCTGGAAAAATAAAAATACATCAGTGAACATGGAGGCAATGTGACAAAAAATACAGTATTTTACCTTCAATGTAGCAAAGCATCTCAAGGTGCTCCGCAGGAGCAGTTTCAAAAGCAAAATTTGGCACCGAGATAGCAGAACAGCCAACTAAAAGAAACAAAAGCATAAATTGCCGGAAAAACTCAGCAGGTTTGACAGCATCTGTGGATAGAAATCAGAGTTACTGTTTTGGGTCCAGAGACCCTTCCTCAGAACTGACTAAAAAGTTGATCATTGAGGTAAGCTTTGAATATATGAACATATAAACATAGGAATTAGGAGTAGGTAATTCAGCCCTTTGAGCCTGTTTCACCATTTAACATGATCATGGCTGATCTTATCGTGGTCTCAACTCCACTTTCCTGCCTGCTCCTCACAGCCCTTTATCCCACTTTTCATCAGAAACACATCCATTTTTTACTTGAATCTGTTGATTGCACTGGAGGTGGAATCAATCTGGGGCAGCAAGTTCCATAGATTCACAACCCTGAGTAGTTTCTCCTCATCTCAATTTTGAACGTACCTCCTCTTATTCTATATCTATGACCTGCCACACACAGGGGAACATCTGTTCAATGTCCACCTTATCAATCTCCTTTGGCATTTTATATGCCTCAATCATAGAGTCAGAGATATACAGCTCCGAAACAGACCCATTGGTCCAACTTGTCCATGCCGACCAGATATCCTCTATAAATCTAGTTCCATTTGCCAGCATTTGGCCCATATTCCTCTAAACCCTTCCTATTCGTATATCCATCCAGCTGCCTTTTAAATGTTATAATTGTACCAGCATCCACCACTTCCTCTGGCAGCTCATTCCACATATACACCAACCTCTATGTGAAAAAGTTGCCCCTTAGGTCCCTTTTATATCTTTCCCCTCTCGCCTTAAGCCTAAGACCTTGCCTATTTATCCTTCCATGCCCCTCATGATTTTATAAACCTCTGCAAAGTCACCCCTCAGCCTTTGACGCGCCAGGGAAAATAACCCCAGCCTATTCAGCCTCTCCCTATAGCTCAAACCCTCTAACCCTGCCAACATCGTAAATCTTTTCTGAACCCTTTCAAGTTTCACAACATCTGCAGACATTTCACTACCCTGTTGGGTAACATCATCAATGCAGCCTCCGATGAAGCACTGTTGTATTTTCCCGCCTGTTATTTAAACTCTGGTGTCCGTTGAGCTGGATTACCTCACTTTCAGTTTTCCTTCGCAAGAGAGTGTATATGGGGTCTATCTCTATGTGTTTATTGATGGCTTACTTAGTGGAGAACCAGGCCTCTAGGAATTCCCGCTCTGCTTCACCTGTCCCAGGATCCTGTTGTCCCAATTGAACCGGTTGTTTTCCTTATCCATATGGATGGAAACGAGGGAGTATTGGTCATGTCTATTTGTTGCCAGTTGATGTTCGCGTACTCTTGTGGTTAAGTTCCTTCTTGTCTGTCCAATGTAATGTTTGTCGCAGTCTTTGCAGGGAATCTTGTATACGACATTGGTCCTGTCCACTATGGGTAGCGGGCCTTTGGTTCAGGTTAGCAGTTGGCGAAGGGTTGATGTGGGTTTGTGTGCTACTCTGATGCCCAGTGGTCGTAGGAGTCTTGTGGTCAATTCAGATGTGTTCTTGACGTAAGGTAGCGGGATGTGTGTGTCAGGGCATGCAGTATCTTCCTGGTGTTATTAGTATACCCAGTTTTTCCGGTATCCGTTGTCTTTGAATACTTGGAAGAGGTACTCTTCTTCTTTTTGGCGCAGTTCTGTGTTGCTGCCCATTTAAATAATGCTCTCACACAACTTCGTTTGTGTGTTAGGGTGATTGTTATTGAAATTTAGTGCTTGGTCAGTGTGTGTGGCTTTCCTGTGTACCTTTGTTAGAAATTCCCCATTGGTCCTGCATTCTACCATGACGTCCAGAAACGGGAGCTGTTTGTTCTTTTCCTCTTCTCTGGTGAATCTGATCCCGGTGAGGGTGTTGTTTATTAGTTCATGTGTCTCCTCTAGTTTGGTCCGTTTAATAATGACGAAGGTGTCATCCACGTAGTGTATCCATAGTTTCAACTGGATTAACAGAACGGCCGTGCTTTCAAGTCTCGGCGACACCACTTCAGCTACTAGTCCGGAGATAGGTGATCCCATGGGTGTCCGGTTGATCTGTTCATATATTTGGCCGTTAAAGGTGAAGTGGGTGGTGAAGCCTATGGGCCTATGCATGCTAAATCCCTGTCTATTTTCCCCTTAAGTCCATTCTTGATTGAACTCCTCTACTCAGGATTCTGATCCTGTCATAGCAACTAAATGGCCCTTTGACAAACTCAGAGGATGTATCAGAAAGGAAAGCTGATCGAATGAAGTAATCTGCCTGGAAGGAGCTTACTACAAATTGTATTGTAGGAAAAGAAATTATTTTGTATACCACTTTAGCTAATGTATTAAATCTTAAATACAGTTAATTAAAAAATTAGCTGAAAATAAGCAATGTAATTAAAATTCAATGGTTCAGAATTTGTTACAAAATAAATGTTGCATGGAAAGAAACAGAGGAAAGGTAAAGGAAACAGGTGAGTGAATGAGTGAGAACGAGAGAACAAAATGTCATTTGTCAGCAGTCAGGAAAACAAAGGATTAGGTTGATATAAGTTTTCAATGAAGTGACATTAAAAGTAGCATCTAATATTATTCTCAATAAACAGCAGAACTAAAGGAATTGGAGTGAAGAGAATGGAAATAGACTAAGTACCCAAAACGGATTTCATTAGAACAAAGAAACTTCTCTATGTTACAATTTCTAATTAGCAGAAAATTACATGCAAGAATTTAGTAAGTATTCAATGATAAATGAATTTTGAATCAGATCTAGTGGTGGGGAAACTTCTAGAAGTAATTATTCTGGATAATATATAGGAAAAGGGGGGTTGATTAGGAAAATTCAGCATAATTTCTAAGAGGAAAAAAGTATTTAACTTGCTGCAGCGTTTTGAAGAAATAACAGAAAGGGTTGATGAGGAAAATGCTACTGATGTGCTATACTTGCATTTTGAGAAAGTGTTTGATACAGTGCCACACAACAAACTTGTGAGGATAAGATGCAGGTCATGAAATAAAACGGCCAGTGGCAACATGGGCACAAAATTGGCGGTGTGAGAGGAAACAGAAGTCAATGTATGTCTTTTGGGCTAAAGGAAGGTTTGCTGTGGAGTTCCCCAAGGGTTGGGATTGGGACCCTTGCTTTTCCTCATTTACATTAATGATCCGATTCTTGGTCAGCAGAGAACAATTTCAAAGTTTGCGGATGGCACGAAACTTGGAAGAATTGTAATCCAGGAGGACAGGCTGGAACCCCAGAGGGCATCAACAAGTTGATGGAACGGGCAGATAGGTAACAGATAAAGTTCAATACAGAGAAATGTGAGGTGATGCGTTTTGTTAGTAACATTTGAAAGAAAATACAAAGTAAGGGGTACAAGAGCAGAGGTACCTGGGTGCATACATGCACAGATCATTACGGTAGCAGGACAGGTGCAGAAAGCAGTTAAAGCATATCGTGTTTTTGGTTTTATTAATGGGTCATATATCTCAAGAGCAGTGAGGTGATGCTGAACTTGTACAAAACACACGTTAGACCTCAGCTGGAGCATTGTGCACAGTTGTGGGTGCCACATTATGGGAAAGTGGTGAATGCATTCAGGGAGTGCAGAAGTGATTTACAAGAATAATTCCAAGAATGAGGAACTTCAATGAGGAGGACAGATTGAAGAATTTGGGATATTCTCCAAGAAAACAGAGAAGAGATTTGCTTGAGATTTTCAAAATCACGAGTGGGCTGGACATCGTAGGTAGTAGGAGCTTTTCCTACTCCTCAAAAGAAGAATGAATGAGACAGAAAAGTGGACGACACGGCAGCTTAGTGGTTAGCACTGTTGCCTCACAGCACCAGGGACCCGGGTTCGATTTCACCCTCTGGTGACTGACTGTGTGGAGTTTGCACATTCTCCCAGTGTCTGCGTGGGTTTCCTCCGGGTGCTCTGATTTCCTCTCACAGTACAAAGATGTGCAGGGTAGGTGGATTGGCCATGCTAAATTGCCTGTACTGTCTAGGAATGTCTAGGTTAAGTGGGTTAGAATGCAGGGATAGGGGAATGAGTCAGGGTGAGATGCTCTTCAGAGGGACAGTATGGGCTAGTTGGGCTGAATGGCCTGTTTCCACACTGTAGGGATTCTATAGTTTAAATTGATGTGCAAACAAGTAGTTAGGGTACAGCAGTTTCAATTGAGGCATTCAAGGCAGCCTTGGATAGAAAAGGTGTGCAAGTATACGGGAAAAGGCAGGATACTGGCACTAGGTAACAGAACTGGTGTGGGCTCGACGGGCTGAATGGCCATCTGTTGCATCGTAACAATTATACGATCTTGATATTCCACTATCCAGAATTTAAAGACAAGTTGTGATCAAGCACAGAACAAACTGCATATTTAAAAGACAGATTCAACCAAGACATCCCACATACTTCACAGCAACACACCTAGATGTCAATTTACACAGACTCATAAAGAAACAAAATAAATCTTTAAAAGTCCACCTTCCTTAAGAGATTTCAGCACTTATCTTAAGATCTAGTCTTTGATGGATCAGTGATTAACGTATAGATCTTGTAGAGATGAAGTATTATCTTCATACTGAGTTGAGCATTTCGCCATAGTGTTGTGCTTTGAACAAGTTTCCATGGGACATGAGGATCATGAGAACTGTAGTTAAACAATCTACAACCTCATGGTCTGGCACGTCAAGCCAGGTGATCAGTCCTGGATCAAAGAAGAACCCAGGAGAGTAACCACGAGCAGCAATAGGCACACCTT